AGTTTGAGACCTCTAGAACATGGCTATAAAGATCCGAAAATTTCATAATCGAATCTTTCCAGCAAGTAATTGAAGAGAAAGCAATGATAAATACAAATAACTTCAGCATAAGCTTCAATTCCCTCAAATTAGTTGTGTCTTGCTACTAAACATCATACATTTCCTGTTAACAATAGAATCGTGCGAATCATCGATGTAACTCGTTTCGGGGCAAAATGTTTGGATTAAAATTAAGTGACTTTCGTTTCAAACTGGAAGATCATATTTTCAAAATTTCGGCTTGCTCTGCAAAGGCTTTCCATATTGTCTTGAGCTTTTAACACCGTACTGTATCTGTGTTCGATCCGGAAATTAGTTGATCGATCAATTTTGTCATTTTTTATTTATTGCGACGTCCAATTCATTATTTATAAAGTTTCCGAAAACGTTATAAAGAATAGGACTCCATCATTTTGACTTGCTATAACGTCGTAGCACGAGCACTCGTGGCAAAGCGTAAAACTATAAATTTACACTGTTTTGTATAAATGTTTTCTCTACAATTTTTCAAATTGTAGAGAAAAAACTCATACAAAAACAGTATGGATTAATTAACAAAATAAATGTTATTGTTTGTTAAGTTATGGCAACGCAATAGTTGGACGGTATGCCTTGGGGAATACTTTCTGGGAAGAATTTTTAAGGGCACTGGCTCCTATTTACACTTTACAGTCGTGGAGAAAACCCGGAAATCTTCATGTGGCCAGTCTGTCCAAGCGAGGCGCAAACCGTAGTGTTCAAGGTGCGAAGACTGCTTGGCCACTGGTGGGCTCCCACACAAAATAAACGTAAATAAATTATAGGATTTTTCAATTGTCTCGATATTACCGAAAATATTAAGTTATAATTTAAAATTTACAAACATTTCTAATTTGTGAGGAGACAATATCAATCGTTGTCTGGAGACAATAGGAAAATCATTGCAAACAGCGATAGTATAAATACGTTAATTTTAAGGGACTCTGGCTTAACATTTATATAACAAACGCAAACGCAATGGCTGACGACATTTCATGTTTTTCTATATTTTTCATTATCAGAAAGTTGGACTTCACACACTTCTGATTATACAATTAAAGAAGTACTATCAATTAACGCTCATGCAGAGAAAAATAATATAGCACACAATTACATATTTACACGAATATTTTTATCAATCTGTACGAGAAAAGAACTTGCTTTTCTCGTACAGATTGCTGAAAATTATATATAAAATATAAATAAATAAGCGGAATCATCATCGTCTATTTTTCAGTTATGTCGTTGAATCTTTCTGATACTCTTAAGAGTTTCATCACCATTCCATAATGGATATGGTCACAGAATTTTAAATTTGTAACAATTTGAAGATATTTATGAAATATTTATATGTAATAACGAACGACTATAGGAAGAGTGCAAGTAAGCAGAACATCTGAGAAGAAACGTAAACGTTCTGAATTTAATGATCAACAATGCAAGACAGTGTTATTCTGAAATAATATTTTATAACTTTCAAAGCAAAACATATGATGGCCGAAAAAAATTGACCAAAAACAATAGAAAACAAAAAAGAAAAACAAACTGTAAAATAACACAAATGGAAAGTTCAGTTTAACTGACAATTTTTTCTACTTGGAACATTTTATTAGATGATGAAGATTGAATTTCAGAGTGATAAACTGTAACTTGTAACTGTATAAACTTGTATTTTTACCAGTTGACCAGGGATAAAACCTCTCATTGTAGCTTTTGTCTCTCATCAACTAGTAAAAATAGTCTGATAACAGTGTGGAAAAGAACTGGTTGACAAAGTATTGTAGTGAAACCTTTTCGACTATTCATTATAATTAATTACTGTGATGACATTGACCCCTGATTGTGGTAGCAAATTAAAAAAGCGGGTTTACTCGATCTGTCTCCGTGTTGTAAAACAGAAATATTTTGAAATCCGAAGAAGGAAAAATTAACTTAAAATTCAAAGGATGACAGAACAGTACAAATCGCACTAATTCACATTACACCAGCAAAGGAAAGTCAGGAAATTTTACATGAAATATAGGTTTTCTTACTGAAACTCTTCCCAGTAGTTGTTTTACTTTAGTAAAATGCTATCGTTTTCAGTTTTAGTAGTTTAAACCCGTGTGGCATAAATACAAGTATGAAAAAAAACATGCTATTTATTACGGTTATTAGTCTTCTATGTTTTTTAAACGACTTGTAAACAAATGATTATTAATCCACTTTCATAGCATTGTTAGGCATATGTTTAAAGTGAATAAAATAGTTAATGCACAAATGTTCGTCAGCTCATATTTTAATGCAGTTTATATATCTTTTAAATATGTTCCTGAAATAAATATGTAAATATTAATTTTATAGAGAACTAAGACAGAAGTGCTGAAGTCAAAAGAGTATATCATACAATAGCAAATTATTATATTTTTTAAATTTGATTATTTTCAGCATTATACTCATAGTATACTAGTAGTATATATTCGATACACTGGGGTATATTATTTAAGAAATATGATTAATTTTAATTTTTTTCATCGAATTTGTTTCATTTTTCTACCATATGTACAACGTTACAAATGTCATGACTTACATTGATTAATAAACCATGTATATTGTCAGCAATATATTTTTCAATATATAAAAGTAACCAATCACTTACATGTTTTGATAAGAATAAGCTGAACACAGATACGTTTGGACTACGATTGTAGTTTCCCCTACATGTTGCAATGCAAAACTTATTCGGTATAACCCAGAAAAAACGTGCAACAAATAAGTATTTTATACTTTAAGTGAAAACGGACTTTTTATAGTTATTTGTCTAACTGTCCACCAATGGCAGAAATATAGAAAATCCTAAAAACCGAAAAGTAAACAAGAACTAAACACTCAGATTGCAGCTATATTCAAACTCTTCAGCTTGTGATTTTATCAAAGATACAATAAGGACAACTACCACTTATGTTTGATTTACCTGACTCTATTGAACTCTGGCTTTCTCTGTACAAGGAGTTGCACTTGAGCGATCTACCTAAGGAATTCATTCCTGAAAGATGTTTAAGAAAAGATGGCCCCTATTTGGATGTTACCAACAAAAATATAATCCAAAACGCTCTATGTGGCCAGCCCATTAGCCATGCTCGAGCCTACGACAAACTACCGGTGATATGTGGGTTTCTTCATTCACATACTGAAAGACTCTTATTAAAATTTAAAAAAATAACCTACTTCCTGGAAATGAAATAAGACGATAATTGGTAGATGTGGAACAAATGCTATATAGTTATCACAGAGTAATACTTTTCAATTTCAATTTCAAGTGATATATGCAACCTGTCTCAGTAATTATATAGTTCGTTTATTTTCGCGGTATCTCATTGTTTCAGTAAATAAGTAAATNAAGGATCTTTCTCTAATCAAAAACAAACCAGAAAACTGATATCTGAAAAATAAGGAACAACTTGCAATGATAAAATGTATATTAATTAAATAAATAAAACAACAATTCTATCAGATAATTCACTGCATGTAATGCATGTAAATAATATTAGTGATTATGACAGTAAAATAAAACACTTATTTTCAGAAGACTTTTAAAATAACTTTGATAAGCATTCTAATTAAAGATTGAGTCTCCAGATCTTATTATTCAAAATCCTTTGACTTTGTTGATTACTAGTCAAATAAACTTTTAAATCCATTTTGATTGTTTTAAATGTGATTGGTGTCTTCAAAACTGATAAAATTCTAATTTTTAGAGATAGAGTGAGTGAGTGTATGAATGCATGCAAACACGCTCACTCATAGTATAGAGTTTTTTAATAGAAGTTTAATTAAATATTTGATTTTGTTATTGACAAACTTTGTCATTATTTAATTCGGTGCACGCTTAAAGTCCAGGCCTGGCACACTAACGTGAATCCGCGTAAAGTACCCGTTAGGGAACGGCTATTTCCGGCACACAGTAGTGTCGATAATCGTTGGAAAGTTGGAAAAATAATATAGTACTTTACACTTTTAGTGAATCAGATGAGAATCAATCATTATATGATTTGGTAAAGGACATCCTACTCTAATGTTCTCCCATTCACCCACCACTAGTTGTTACAACAATAACCACTAAGTAAACAGTTTGTAAGATGCCTCATATAGTCTTCTCCTGAGGGTACTCACAAGGTTGCTGTTGCATTTCCACATTCTTTATATCATACAGTACTGTATTCATGCCTCAATGACTCATCATCATGACTCTTATCTCATTTTGTCAGTAAGGTCTGTCAATATGGTTCCTTCCTATGATTCAGACATTACCTGAATCATAAGAAGGAACCATAAGCTATGTTTTGCAGATCTGGCAAAGGTTCTAAATCACCGAAAATGTTGAAGACAGTAGCTATATTAATCAACCATGAGCAACAACCTCTGCTCAGAATCAGTACTTGACACTTCTGGCCTTTCATAATCCTAAGAATACTGCAAGAGAAATCCATTCTGTGTCCCTAGATGCCAACAGAGTCTCTTTATCAATGCAAACTGTTCATAACTAATTACATGATCCATCCCTGCGAGTTAAGTGATCTTGGCAAGGACCAAAGCTCACCCAACAGCATCATGCAGACCAGTACAGACAGGCAGTAGGTCACCAATTATAGACCTTATAAACATTTACAGCTAAATAAAAACAATTGTTGAATCAAACTGAAGTAATAGCAATCCAGATAAAGATAAAGATTTTATTATTTTAGATAGATAATATCTATCTAAAATACTAAAATGTATTAAATCCAAAAATTACATATCAAATTTATTGTAATATTGTTGAACTGTTTTCTAGAAACATGGTTAAAATGATATCTCTCTATTTATTATTATTTACTGCAAAAAAACTATAATGAATGAATTAATATTAATTTAATATATATTAATAAGTAATTAAGCTAAAATGAATAATGAGTTTACTATACCATTGCATTAATTTCCTTCTGGTAATTTATTAATTCTTGGAAATGACTGTTTCTTTTCTTATATTCATTAATATCCAATTCCACTTGCTGTAACATTAAAGAAAAAAATCAATATGATTATAAATTTTATTAATAATAATAACAATATCTCATTGAATGATTAACAGAATTATATTACATATAAATTAACTCAAATTATTGTAAAAAATACAAACTTACTTTTAATTTATTTTGCAATTTTTCACGTTCTTCTTCTAACATATTTATCTTATGTTTTAGTTTCAGTAATTCATCATCATTTGTCTATAAAGAATTGAGTTTATTTTAAAATTAAATGTAAAATTTAATTCTAATTGTGAAAGTTTAGAATTCTTTAAAAATCTATTACAGATATTCATAATAATACTAATTGAGCTGTTGCAAATGGAAGGTTTAAGTCCATTTACTTTTAAATAGAGTTGTTTAAAGGCTTACATTTGTACTGATTCAAAAATATTGGTAACTGATAATTATCTATTTACAAAATCATGGCAATTTTGAAGATCTTGACTTGTTTAAAATTAAAAAAATCATGTAGAATTGTAATGTTAACATTAACTTGATTTTTTTTAAAAATGGGACTTAAACCATTCATTTGCAGTGACTTAATTATATATTACAGCATATAAAAGGTATAATTATATATTTTAAAACATCAAGAACAGAACTTCAAATATAATATAATATATTTAAAACTAATAATTTTAAGCTATTTATGAATGGAAGATAAAGTATTTACAATCCCAAATAGTCTTTTTAATGCCATATTATCCCAAATTCAAAAATATATTGAAATTAGGTACTATAATCTCAAAATTATCTCTGACAAAAGAAAGAGAACTTCACTAGTTAAACATTGAATAGTTTAAAATTTGATAATGCTTTACAAAACAAGTTCATATATCTATATATAAAACAGGTATATATCCAGAAATTTCTGAGTATGGGTCACCCACATTACTAATGGCTTGCATAGACTTAGCATAGATAGGCTATCAAAACTACAATAGCCCAAGATCACTAGCAATACATGACTGTGCAAAAAGCTACCATATCAATATGGAACCTCCCTGCAGGTTACAGCAAACCAGTTATACACATGAAAATGTTCAATAAAAAAAGGAAAGGATGAACAAGAACAATCGTTAAATTTTTATTCTTCTTTACTCATAGTTATTCATGTAGCCAAGTATTTGAGTAATGCACTGCTTCAGCAGTGCATTAAGCAAAAGTAGTGTAGTGTAGTCTGATTTTTGACAAAAGCCAAATTAATGTCCTTTGGCACTTTCAGGTACAGTATGGAGACAATTACATGAGTTGTACATAAGTGTACCAGTAGAATTCTATGGTTCCAAATTGTATCTGCATGTGCCAAAAGACCAAAAGATGTTGATTGGTTTTTGTCAAAAATCAGACTACACTATACCACTCTTGTTTCATGCATTGCTAGAGAGGTGCCGCCATTTTATTAATCTGTTGTCTTATGATCTTGTGCATCATCAGTGTTGCCAGTCACAGTTGCTGTTGCCTCTAACTTGAAAGTTTTGTGTGTCAAAATTACTATGTTATTGACTTTTAATGACATTTTTCCAGTTTTCTACTGAATATGCCTTGTATTTAAATATCTGTATTATTGAAAAGTAAAAGCTAAAATTCTATTCATATTTTGCATGTAACCAACTAAAACATGTATAATGAACTCTACAGTTGATGTCAATATTCTACAAGAGACAAAAATCAATATAAAGAATGATAACATTAACAAATAATACCATCTCATATATTGACATGTATCTCTTTTTGTGTCAATCTCAGTGTGAGAAGCAGGGGGCCACAGGGTCACTCCCTAATGATGTCTTAATCGGCAACAGTCCGCAAAGACTGCTCACATTGTCATTTCAGAGGGCTTTTTATTGAGTGGCGAAGGGGTGAACAAGTCGACAGTTATCCATGTTTCGGAGTGACAGAAGACAGGTTTTTAACAGACAACAACAAGAATTTATTATATAACTAAACCCACAATACATATAACAAAGCCTAAGATTAAATGCAGTTAAATGAGGTTACATATACACTACTATGGAGTGGATTGACAAAAGTTTCTAATCAGTTTGCATGCAGATCTAATGAACTAGCTATTTGCTACTTCTGCTAAGAGAAAGTTTACAAGAATCTATAGATACCTCAATATTCATTAGTCAAATTAGATAATGTTCATTCGATCAGAAGAGAGGAATTCAAAAAGGACTAGCGATTATATGGCGGGTCTTCTTATTGTTGACTTGCATGGGCCAGGACAATCCATTCATGAAGGTTCGCTGAACTTGGCATCTAGTCGTCGATTACTCCGGGCACTAATTAATCTATTCACCTTCCTTTGGACTTGTATGGGATGACTGCCCAGAAATTCGGTGTCTCCACATTTTATGCTTGGTGCCTGGGAAAATGATCATGTGATCAACTATTGACATGTCAAAGGTTCATTTCCAGGTGGGAGCACAGGTTTCTTCCGATGACATTTAATAGCAGCTGTCCCTCTTTCACAATCGAATGTTTTCCTTTGCCATCTGGTTGTCAAAATTCCTCTCTGTTTGTTTAGAGAGAACGTCATCTGATCCATTCTAGAGTGATGTTTTTTTTTATAACAATCGCATTAAGAAATTAAATTACAAAGTCGTAATTTTGTGCGAAATTCTCTCATTCCTCCACTCAAGCCCAGGGATCACACCAGTAAGTGAAAGAAATGACAGAAAACAGTACTCTGGATATATCTAAAAATAACTACAATAACTAGCATATCTAAACCTAACATAACATAAAAATTCTTAAATTCAACAAACAATTTTCCATTAATATTTAACCAACCATACAACCATAAAATGCAATAAAAATTTCTTTATTCAAACGTTTTGAATCATCTGAAACGATCTTCATGAAATTACATTCTAATATAACAAATGACAAGCATTTTTCTAAAACATATTTGATTTAATGGAACAAATAAAATAACTGCATTTCATGATTACAGGATTAATAGTTGTACGAGTGTGCTATTCCTGTAGGAGTTAATAAAACTTAAATATTAATTTCTTATCTAATATTTGGCTAATTATAAGAATAAATTTGTATTTAAGTGATAAAATGTAATAATGTTACAAATTTCCAAAAATATGATTGAATATAGATGACATAATGTCATCTATACTCAATCATATTTGTAATTATGTGATTGTATTGTAATTACTTTTAAATATAAATATAACAATGCTTTGGATAAATGATTTTGAATATATAGGTGTTCTGCTCAAAAGTATCCAATATTAATTTGCCATTAAAAATGAATGGTTTTAATGATATATAAAAGCAACAAGTGGTGCGGATGTTGAATCATGAGCATTATTGTCCAGTCAGGGCTTTGCCATAGGATAAAGTGCAGGTCTTGGTCTCATATATCTGATAGCATGGTCACCAAGTTCTCCCAATATGAAACCCTTTGATTTATTTCTGCGGTAGTTACATGAAAAATATGTTTGTACAACTTTGATCTGAGACCTTCAGAATCTTCAGGAGTGCATCATGGCAGCCATCACCACTGTGAGACAGAGCAGGACATGCTGCAGCATACATAACAAAAAATTGCCTACTGCCTTGATGTTGTCGCCAACTGCTGGAGCATACACAGATTTGGTGAATTTTCTTTAATAAAATTTGGTGAGTTTTCTCTTATATAAAATCTTTGGTGAACTTATCTTTAACTGTTAATTTTTTATAGCCAAATTAAATTGGATAGATTCAAGTGGTATACCCTGTATTATTAACCACTTCAAATCTTTGTATGCATTTTGATCTTTACAATGGCCCCATCAACCAGTCTGTAATTTTTGTTTTCTTTAAGAACTTGACAACAGATATACTGACATTTATTCTGATGTTTACCTTTGACTTCAAACTTTGATATCTTTATAATTAGTAAATGGCTGAGATGATAAATATATTCTATACTATAAAAAAGAAATTGTAAAAATACTGCAGAATACCAATGACATTTTACAATCTTTGCTATGTTTAAAATTTTAAATATTAAAACTTTTTACTGAAAAACAAATTCAGATATTAAAAAGTAATTATTTATCTTATATCCTTCTAACTAAAATTTATTTTTCATATTTCAGAATTTTTATTTAGCTTATAGATTCCTATATATTGATATATACATACAGATTTTTAATATTAAACTTACCTTTGATTTATTTTGCCATACCATACATTGCTCTTGCAATTCTTTAACTTCTTCTTTCAATATAATTTTTTCCTTATCCTTGTCATTAAACTTTTCCTAAATAAAAAGGAAAAACTTTGTCTTTTATTGTATTTTCTTAATCTCAATTTGTATTTCAGAAAAGAAAAATTATTTAAATTAAATTAATTGAATTATTTATTTAACATAACTAAACTAAAAATAAATTATATGATAATTTTTATTTAATCAAATAAAATTCACTATTAATAATTTATTTCATTGCCTATTGTTATAACAATAAGATCAAATGGCTTAACCAAAGCTTTTTACAAAAGCAGAATAAATAAATGAAAAATGTTAGTTCTTGATAAAATTTTCATTTAACATAGAAAAAAATGCTTTATCAAAATATTCCCTATGAAAATGTCAATTAACATCCTGTGAGACATTCAAATGATACAAAATGATAGTAATATATATATACAAGATTATATGAGTGAACTTGTTTGACAGGAAAAGGATGTATGTACTGTATTGTTTCTGTGTGTTTTGGTGTCTATTTCATTTAAATATCTAAAAATGGGGTAATGACCAAGAAATGAAATTTGGCATGGTAGCTTGTATATAAGGACATTGATGCTACTAAACTTTGGTGGTTAATGGTCAAGGGAATGGGAAGATAGATGGTGTCATGCAACATATCACAAATGAAGCTCAAACTTAATGAAAGATTTTACTTTCTTTTAGCATTTACAATTTTTTTTATAAAACTCATCTCTACCCTCAAATTTAAGCCTTTTGCCACTTTATAATAATTAATAATGTAAAAAATTTACATAAAGTATCATAACAGATGACACCAACACAATTTTGTGATAAAGTGTCTTAGTGTTTTTTGCCAAGAAGTTACACGACTTGTTGGTAGATTTTTTATTGTACAAATACTGGGAAAAAATGTATTAAATTTATATTTGGTAAAATGCACATTAAATATGTATTTAAATTATATAAAAGAATACAATAAATCACTGATTTAGTTAACACTATATAATAATTAATCTTTTTCAAAATTATTTGGTCAAGAATTATAACATATTTGACATACTGCTATGAAGTTATGTTATATATTTTGTTCAGTCCATATTAATACAGTTATCCATCATATAACATACTAGTTATGTTTCAAAAAAAGTGCCATGTTATACAAATCCATGCAATACAAAACAAAAGACTTACGTAAAACATAGGATTACATTCCAGGCATTAACAAAAGTATACTATTCTTTTTCATTACTAAGAGAAATATGTTTATTAAAGCAATCAATAATTAATTAACAATCACAATTAAACATGCTGTATTAAGTGTTAATATTAATTTTAGTTAAATGAGGGCATATTCTTTTTTACAAAATATCATTGTCATCTCAGCTTTTTTGTTGATCTTGATCAGAAGTATCAACAACATTATCATAAATTTTATTTTAATCATAAAAAAATTTTTATGGATGATGAAATAAAAATATGTTATTAATCAAAAATTTGCTCTAATGGGTTGCATTTGTTCAGTCAAGTACTGAGCAACGTTTTTCTAGAATTTGTGTTCGTATACCAAATTGTTTGAGTACTGAAATACCACTGTATTTTGTTCATCATTTTACGAATGATTGTTTACCTACAGTTTAAAAAAAAATTTAATAGCACTTATCTAAAACTGTTTAAATAAACTTTACTAAATACAAAGATTAATGTATAAAAACAAAAGACAGTGGGTTTTAAACACTAAAATCTAAAAGCAACGATGATGATACCTGGTTGATAAAAAAATCTAGGACAAGGAAGAAAAAAAACTGTACTATTAGTTTTCATTAAAGTAAACTTGACAAAAGACACAAAACAAACTGAAAATTTCAATATCATAGAGCATGGTAATTCTGTATAGTAGAGCTCAGCCACACATCTGAAGTGTCAAATTTGACCATTAATATCTCAAAGACCAACAAACAAATTTGGATGAAATTTAAATATTCAGTGTCCACAATGAGGACTACAGAAGTCTTAAATTTTGAATAAATTCATTGGATCATTCTGAATTTACGCAATCCCAAATTTAGCTTTTTTTCCATTAGATTTACAATGAGAGAAATTTTCATGACACCAAGCTACTGGAAAATCTAGAAGGAGTCTGCATATGCTTAATAGCTCTTTTGAGAGCTGACCACCTCTTTTGTGGTCCTTTTAAAGGTTTAATTTAAAAATATTGAGTATTTATAAAATTATAGCTCATTTTTAAAATATTAACACTTTATTGGTCAATCATCTACCATATAATGTGACTTTTGATATTACTTTTAATCTATTAAGTAATACAAGCCTAATGATTTAAAAATAGAATATTTATAAAGTAATGATCCTTTTACTTTTGTGGTTCTTATGCACCTATACATAAAAAGGGAAAGTATTGACCCTCTGAGTTTTTAGCAAATACCACATTTTGATGTATATAGATGATAGAATGTTTGTTTCTCTCTGTTCTTAGCTTTTTGTTATAGTTATTATTATATTTATTTTCTGAGATATTGAAGAAAATATATACCACTACATAAACCTGGACACCCCACCCCTTCTGTAATTTTACCCCCTCATTAACTCCTAGATCTTTTGCATGATCTTTACCAGAGTTCTCCTGCTTATTCTCTGGGACTCTGAGGAAAATATAGACTACAAAAAATCCTGCATAGCCCTGATTTAACCCCCTTAATAACTTTTAAACCCTTTGCTTGATCTGCTCCAGAATTTCATGCTTGTTTACTAGAACTCTGAGAAAAAATCTGCATGCTATCACATGAATATATCACATGAGTTATGAATATCACGAAAACTATTCTCTTATGAAGTTATTGATGACTGAAAATACTTGAAATCCCCGTGAAACCAAGTTGAAAAAGTAGAGCTCAGCAGAAACATTAAATAAAGGAAACTTTTTAAACTTGTGGCATAAGAATAGTGGAAATAGATTTGACATTAAGACTCAACATGTGAATAAACTGCACATTACACAGACTACAACTACAGGAAGTTTTGGAAGAAGCAGTCATCGTAATAAATCAGAAAAATAAGCATTGTCACAGAAAAAGGCTTTAAGCTTTATTGGGATACAAATGACAGACAGTCATTTGTATCCCAACAGTTTATACAAGAAAAAGTTTCAACCATTTTTATAATCATTTGAATTCATTGGATAAATCCAAAAACATTTAAATGCTACATATAAATGTACTGTACTGTACATAACATATTCACTAAAAGATAAGTAACTATTTGCATTTACTAAATTTACATATTCAATAATTAATTATTGGCATTATAAAATATTAATATTTATTATTATTATTATTATTATTATTACAAAATATATCAACCTCATTTAAAAATCTCTTCTCCCAAGCAACTCTCCTCAGAAATGGATGAATTTCCTTGTTAGTCTATATAAAAATTGAAAAGTATAATTAATATTAATTGGTTTTAAGATTTTAAAAAGTATCGCAACAAAACAAATTTGAAACAAACTACTCTAATAACAAAACATTCTTAATAAAACATGTTTTATAAACAAATTTTAGTATATATACAAACAGTAAANCAAAAAGCTCTCTGATATCCAAAGTCGCAACAAGTCACTGAATTTTTTTTCACTGATTTTCCTAAAAATTATATTATTGTCAAATTCAAAAATTAGATTGGACAAATTTTGGCATTTTTACTTACACTTATTTTAATTTTTTCTACATAGTAAGTTTATCTACAGTCTATATTTCCATATAAATAATTATATTTTAGCTCATTTGTGGCAATGGGCCAGATGAGCTGACCTTGCGGGCCAGATCCAGTCCATGAGTTGTAGTTTGGTGACCCCTGCACTAAAGCAATGCCACTGAAAATTAAAACATTCTAAACATTCTAGCATAAAAATGCATTAAGTGATTCGTAATTACATTTTGCTAATATTCAGATTAATATGCTAATAATAATCTCATTAAAAAATTCATATGTTTACAAAAAAATATCAAAATGTTTGAGGAAGGTCTTATAACATAAAATCACTATATAAATGCTGTGTAGGTTAAAAACAGCATTTAATGCTTTTGTAATAAAAAATTAAGTGATGAATATATAAGAAAAATAAAACACAGTAGTACCTGCTTATTATAATCACTTTGGGACTTCCATTCTGATAACAATAGCTGAATAAACAGATTAAGTAAATAAGACTATAATTAGCAGAAATTTTAGTTTCATCAACTCTGACATTAATAACACATTTTAAAGCTTTAAAGAAATGGTTTGAAGGTTATTAATTAATTGTAATATACCCAGCATTTAACTGAAGTAACAAATGCCAGAAATTTATACTAATATACTGCAAGAAAATCATGGTTAAAATGATTAATATAACATTTTAAATTTAAGGAACTGATTGAATTATGATTACAATAAGCAAAGAATTACAAATCTGTTTTAGGACAACAATTCTGATAATATTAGCACAGTGATATAAATATCTATGATTACAATAGATAGGTTCTATTGTATAAAAACTATAGTAACTATGCAATAGTTTCCATACATCAGATAAAAGTATAGCTGATTTTTATTTTTCCATATTTGTAATTTATTACTTAGACTAAATGTTAATTAGTTATACATTTTGTATGTTATTTCTGTCTTCTCTTAGTATATATTTATACTTTATAAAAATCATACTTAGATTAATTGTTATTTGAATCCTAACTTTAAATGTTATGTTCTTGTCATTTTGCCATAAACTGTCACTTTACAATTAATCTCTAAACCTGAAGATGCCTGCCTATTTAGGATAATGAAAAAATAATTTTTTCTTTTTGACTATTCAGAGCAAACTACTGTTTTGCTGTTAAGTATTAAGAAGATTTCTGTTTCTTTGTGAATGGCTTAGTGTGTTTTCAGGAAAGAGAATAGAATTCTATAATTAACAAGCACTGAACATTTTTCAATATTTTTGCATTTCAATTAAAAATAATAACATGTATCCATAATGATTATATTCTTTACACAAAACCAAGACTATAAACACTTAACATTGATCTATTTAAGGTTTTTCACATAAGTATATTTTACAAAACATCTTTGGCAAAAATGTAGAATCTAGATTTTTATCACATATTATAGTATTTAAAGTATTTTTTATACTTGTATAAGTTCTTGTTGCTTTTATAAGATGTTTCAGTATATTTTCATCCTTCAAGATTATAAAGTTTATCTCTGTTTAAGTTAACTTTTACATAATCAATTATTATAACAAATATGGATAAGTTGAATTCCATTTTTCTCCAAAATTTCATGTAATATGGAAATTGCATCAATAACACATCTTCCCTTTCTGAAACCTTGCTCTTTCTCTACAAACTTTTTAAGTGTATTATCGAGCTTCAGTGCAGTTAATAGTAATGTTATTCGGTTTATTTAATAGTCGTTACAGCAATTTTTATGGTACAAATGCAGCTCTGAATGACACAGATGGTAACTTATCAGGGTTGTAGACCATTCACATTTTGGGAAAAAGTGTTTCACAAATGATCAAAAATAAACGACAGCAATCTCTATTGCAGCCTAAAGTTATAGTTAAGCTTTTGCCAGAATTAGAATTACCACACGATACGCAAAGAGGAGAATACGTCCTCCACTTTTTACTTTAAAAAAAATGGTTATAATTTTTACGCGTAATAAGCTTATCTGGAATTTACATAACAATCACATGTGCATAACAGTTAAAATGTCAAAATGTAAATTTACTTTAAAAAGTTTTTTAAACTTTTTAAATGTTATTAGTATATTTAAACACTAAGATTAACCAAATAAATAAATATGGTATAATTATATATAAATTTAATTAACTTATTTACTCTTTAATACTATGTTGACAATATGATAAGAATGAAGAATCTCGAATAGAAAAGAATCAAGAAGCTATGGAAAAATCAATGGTAAAAGTACATAATTCCCATATTATGGGTTAAATTAATCATTTTCATTACTTTACCTTAATCAGTGGCAATTTTCTATTGAACATATTAACAACAGTTTTAAGCGTAATTGTGACATTTTCACTTTTTCTAACCGTAACAGTATTTATGGGATTATCATTTTTACAGTTAACACCCGTTTCCCTATTAAGTGGCATCATTTTTACTCTTCGCAGCCATAACACGTTCTTCGGATTTCCCAAATCTGTACATTACGATAATCACGTGGACTTTCCCGTTTGTATTTTCTGTAGCCAATCACAAACTAGAATATATAGATCTTACGTCATTGTTTCGTCGTTGCTGGCGCGTGCGTAATTTTTTTATTTATTTTTTATTTTTATTTATTTATTTATTTACTTTTTTTATTAATTTAGAAAGAATTTTCTATTTAAACTTATAATAAAGCTTTATATTTTAATGAAAATATATTAAATTCATCTACATTATAGTTTTATAGATAAGATAATAAGAAAAAAAAATGATATGAAGAGAGATTACAGAATTTTATTACACGCAATTGATTACGAAATAAAAATTTTATTAGCTTTTTAAAATAGTAATTAATAGGAAAATATCATTTTATAGAAGTTAAGTACCAGTCGACCCCCCCCTATAACACTGTTGATAATTACGTTTTATATGAATTCCATGTTGTACGAGTCACTTAGATTTTACAAATACGTGTGCCGGGCTGTGAACGGCTCATGTATTTGTAAAATCTAAGTGACTCGTACAACATGGAATTCATATAACACGGGATTATCTACAGTGTTATAGGGGGGTCGACTTGTACCGTCTTTCTTCGGCTGCAAAAATCATATTAATCGACAAAAAAAATGTTAGTTACTATTGATATAATTCCTTTTATACTGTATTTCAATGATTTGTCGGTTGCTGTGACAACTAATTTAAAAAAAAAAAACTCTGTTCGATGTTCGAATTTTGAGAGATCGAACGTTAACATATTTTAATACTGTAAGAAGTACTTTTTACAAGCGAGGATGTTTCCTAAGAAAGTGTTTTTCTTTATTTTTGCTTCCTTGTTATATTTATCAATTGATAATTCTAATAACAGAGAAGAACCAAATGATACATACACAGGTATTTGTTAATACTTTTAATTTATTCCAAATTATTCTCTAAACGCGTAAAAGAAATATTTTTAAACAAATTAAAACGTGTTTCAGGAATTAAACAGATCCATAAAATGGCTATGGGAGGAAGTGGAAAAGATGATGGTTATTTATCTGGAGAAGATTATAAAACAGAAGAATGTGAAGAAGAAAACATTTTTTTGGGTATTTTCGAACATAGCAAACTCATTTTAAAATGTATTATAATGGGGCTTTGGCGACTAATTTTTCCAATCTTTGTTTTTATTGGAAACTTGTTGAAAAGTATCGTTTGTCTCGTGGCCAATTTTATCGATTTTATTTTTAAGTTAATATGTAATACATTGAATTGTATAGTGAATTTCATCAAGTGGACTCTTCGTCGTCTTTATTATTTTTTCACGTATCCTTTCAAGAAACTGAAGTGCTGGATTTGCGGATGCCCCTTTTCTTTGGACCAACAAGAATTACAAATTCCAACACCATCCGAGAATTACCTTACTCATCTCAAAGACAATGTCGTGACAATCCGAATTTATTGCCAGGAAAAAAAAGAAAAAGAATGTAAGAAGAAAGTAAAATCTCCGTGTGAATGCAATCCCAAAGAAACAATTATGATGCTTAATAGATTTTTTCAAAAAATATCAAAATATGTTGACGATACTATAAAGCGAATAGGTTTACTTTTGGCCGTGAGAAATGTCTATTAAAAGGCATGCTAAATTGAAAAAAAACCTATAAAAACTATAAAAACATTAACAGAAAAACTCAAATATAAAATTGATATCCTCAAGATTGAAAAATTTCAAAATTTGTCACGTAATAATTTATTTTGGATTTTAAAAATTAACTTATGAAGACGAAATACTTCTCATTTAAAACAACTGCCTTATATAATTATCATAAATCTTAATTTTCAAGAATATAGACCTATTTATGATTGATTTTATTAGCATTTAAATTTCAAATTAAAATCAAGTCTTAATTTATTTTTTGTTTAATGATTATTTCTTAACATATTTTTTTTTAGATTAAAATAAAAATAAATTTATCAATTTACAGAGGGTGATTTGATAATTGTGACTCACTTTTTTGCTTAGTTTCTTTCACAAAGTACCCGTCGATGAATTGTTTTTGTCTGTTCGATGTGTTCTCCATCTCGTTGGTTTACAGCGTGACATCGCCGTTTCTACGATTCGAAGACCTTCTTGAAAGTTTCGACCGATACTGATGACCACTCCTGCTGAATTACTTTCCAAAGACAATCTAATGTAGCCTTACGAAGAAAAAGACGTTGCTTCAGGAAGCCAAATCCAAAGAAATCCATGGGACCGATATCAGATGGTTTGGTTGTCCTCTGCAGGAATGTCATTCGGTTCACCATCAGCCTTCAACATCTAGAGATAAGTGGTTGTATATCTAGTTGTTTGACTAGATGCTTTGTCAGGATGAAGAGTCACATTGGCTTCTCCAGGATGCAGCTTTGGAATCTCGCATTCCAAATATGGTTTCAAAATGTTCTCCACATATTAGTTAGCATTAACCTTTACAGTTTTTGGCACTCTGATAAGAGGAAGTGTTCCCCGGCCCGTCATTCCTCCACCAATCATAAATCCTTCAGGCCATCTTTCGTGACATTTGAAAGCCATTCTTCTGGCACTTCCTGTCCGGGCTGCAAGTACAGAATTTTTCGAGTTCCATTGCAATAATCAAAGTACATATATGCTTCATCTACGGCAGGGGTGTCCAACCTTTTTGTTTTTCTGGGCCGCATTGGAAGAAGTCAAGGAGTTTTGGGCCACCAGCAGTAGCGTAGCGTAGGGGGCGGCAGGGGCGGCCGCCCCAGGCGGCACTTTTTTGGGGGCGGCAAAATTTCACAATAAATAATAATAATATCTTGTAAGAATTTGAACCATTTTATTTCATATTTTCGTCCACCTACGACTCGGACTGATTGAAATGAGCACGGCAATAGTGTTACCATCCATCCGGATAGTCCGCGAATCGACTCGCCGTCCGAGGATATCGTGCGCGACCTGTTGACCTTTTTTTATTTTTTTTTTTTTTTTTTTTTTCTTTGCTTGTACGATTTATTCGTATATATATACACCTTCAATATCCAATAGAGCTAGGTCACTTGCGTTACTCTTATCCAAGTCTCTCTAGTCGCTAACTGTAACTGATTTAGAACCAGCATGCACTGCAAATTATTCTTCGCATTGCAAAATGATATACTCATACGTCAGGAACTTCTGTTCGAACAAACCTCACCTGCCGTCCAGGTCGGCGATTTTAAAAAGGTGGCAACACTAGCACGGAATTTTTCATTACTTATTCTGTGACGAAACTGAATTTTAGTCTTTTAAATTGAGATACCTAAATAAGGAGGCGGTGAAATTTTCCTCCACCCCGGGCGGCTGACACCCACGCTACGCCACTGGCCACAAGTACTGTATATATAATATATACTTGTGGTTCAATATACAAGTATATTTAAGGATTAACATGTCTAGATTATAATAAAAAGTATTAAAACTTTATCAAGAAAAAGGATATTTTAAAAATTACTTCTACAGACACTTTCAATTTTTACTTAGAAATAGATAAATTCATTTATTATAAAGGAGACAAAAATTTATTTGAAAAACACAAATATTTGTTTTATTTGTCTCTAATTAATAAAAAGCAACGAAATGCCATTTTAAAGTGCATTTTTATTCAACTAATATAAATAATATGTAGCCCAAAAGTAGCCAAAGCGCCAAATAATATTTTTTACGTCAAACAAAAAAAAAGTAGCCACATTTGGCGCAATGTAGCCAAATCTTGCAACGTTGGAAAAAATACTAAATAAAGTTGGAGTTGTGAATCAAAGGATTATAGACCCAAGTGCAGGAAAAAGAGACAAAGGACAAAAGATAAAGAAGTGAAAAAGTTTGAAAAATTACGGGTCCGTATTTACTTGACAAAAGATCTATTTAACCTTTCTCACTACTACATCTTTTGTTTTTCTCATCTTTTCCTCCTTTTCCCAAATTTGGGTCTATAATCCTTTGAGTCACAACTCCAGCTTTATTTAGTAATCCTTCCTCATTCACACATTTCCAAGTATTTGAAAATATTTCCTTTCCACTCAAAAATAAAATACGAATAAAAGTTTACGGCTTTGTGAAACTTCTTTTTTGAGTTTATGTCGTTGAAATAGATAAATAATAAAAAAATTAAAACATTTTGTCGGTTTTGTTTACACGTTTATTGGGCCGCATGCGGCCCGCGGGCCGCGGGTTGGACACCCCTGATTTAGGGTGACCATGTACTCAGTTTTTTTCTTCAGCTTCTTCTTTTGCTTTTTTCTTGGTAGCTGCTTGCAGATCTTCGTGTATAATGGTGTTAACGGTGAACTGAGATATACCCAGACGTTTTGCTATAATCCTCTGGCTAGGTGGATTTTCTTTTCTAATAATTTCCTTAACTTTCCTTATCTTATCCTTACTCCGAGATTTGCGAGCCCTTGGAAATATTGGGTGTAACTCACCAGAAGCACTGACTTGTCGCTTTTTCGTTTTGTCACCAAGAACTCTAATAACTGTAGACTGGAAAACTTCCATTCCATTCTACTTAAGGGCTTTTACAGTAGCGCAGGATAAAAGAATTTCTTTGGTAAAAAGCTTGATGCATATGTCAACTTCGCTTGCAACTGCTGCCTCTATTTTTAGAACAATCGAACTCAAACGTTCTTATAATGCAAAGAAAAGCAACATCTACTAGTTTTCAAAATATAGTAGTAGAATGTAAGATATCCAATTGTGAATTTGAGTCATAATTAGGAAATCGCCCTCTGTAAAAGAGAACTGTGTATAGTATCATATTTTTCTTCTTTTCGTGCTCTATCCTTTCCGGATGTTGGCTGTCATCACTGCCATCGTATTCTTATTGCTGTGTTTTCTGAAGAGTTCTTCCGAAGACATATCACACCATTCCTTCAGGTTTCTCAGCTATCAGATTCAACGTCGTTCTGGTTCTCTTTTTCCAGAGATTTTTCCTTGTATAACGAATTGTAGGATTCGGTACTTGACACCATTTCTCATCACGTGGCCGAAATATTCCAACTTTCTGTTTAATGGTGTCGAGCAGTTCTTGTTGTTTTTCCATTCGTCGAAATATTTCTACATTCGTCACATGTTCTACCCAATGTTTAATGCTGTTAAATGAAATATTAAAAATTCAGAAACGAAGCTTATGATTGTAAAAATGATTTTCATGTAATATGATGCAATACCGCACATACAGGATATGCAAACATCTGCAAGTCAACAATTAACATCTGCAACTTCTCAATACGATTTTTATAATGTTTGCTAAACAATGTGTCATTATACGTCTGATTTTTAGGACACCTGAAGGATCCTCAACCCTATCAAAATTAGAAAAATAAATTATGAAATGGAGATAGAAGCTTAAAAGCTCGAATTTAACCTAAAATTCGTTACGCCTATTAATATATTTCCTATATTATTACTTTATAAATTTAATAATACGTAGTTTAGTTCTAATTTCTGTTAACAGATGGAGGTATGTTTTATTTCACAGTCTTCGAAATTTAATTTTTTCGTAATTTAAATAATTATATATTGTTTTACGTAGATACATATTAAATATTTTTTAAAAATTAATCAATCAAAAAAAATAATTTTATTTAATTAGAAACAAAATAAAGAATAAGAAATTTGAAAATTATATATATAGTAGTTATATCTTTCAATACCAGATGGCAGCAACGTCGGTCAACAATGAAAATTTTAAATTTATATACATAACATTGCTGTGTTTTACAATTGCAATTTTTTTTTTAATGCCGTTATTTAATTATTGCTGTTTTAATAAATATTCTATTTAAAATTTTAATTATTATTTAATTGTAATTTATTAACCTTAAATAGTTGATATATTATCTTGTTAAGCATCCATATAAATAAGTCGGTATTGTTCTAAATAATATAAGGTTAAAAAAAACACCGGTTTAATTAATATAAGTGATTATTGTAAAGTTCAATTATATTTTTTCTTTAATAAACTTATGAAGTAGATAATGATAACTGATAATTGCGCGGTAAGTCTAATAGTGTCAGTAAATGTTAACAGTTTATTTCAGTCTGTTTGTCGGGTTTTTTTTATCTCAATAATTAATTTTTCCAGCCTGGGAAGTAGGAGGAGCCATGTTACAAATCATGTGAGAAAATAACATGGATCGACATATTTCGATACATTCGCTATTACTTTTTGTCTTATGATTGAATGTCTTATGGGAAATTTCACAGTAGCATTAATTATAGAATCGCTTTATCTTATCTTACGTCTTCATTGATAATTATCGATAAAGATATCAAAGGAAAATTTATTCTAAACTTGAATTTTCTTTACACAAACTTAATTTGATTTGTTGTTTAAATAGGATAAAAATCGAATTAAACGCTAACAAATAATCAAGTTATTAAAATAATGTTGTATTTAACCCTCTGAAAACCATAAATACGTATAAATAAATCTCTTAGACCAGGATCAAATTTTGGAGCCCTTCTATATATGAATCTCAGACCCTACTCAATGGTGGACTTATATTTTTGGTACTCCGAAGCTCTGTTATGAGGCCCCCTTTGCAACCAACAGTAGGACCAACAAAATCCAAAAACTTACTGTTCTTGTAAGGACCTCAAAGCCCAAATGGAGGAGAACGGAGTCCTTGAAAATGGGTCATGCAATAAGCCACTTTCCAGCGCAACACGGTTTGGGTAATCTTCTTCAATGGATTATTTCT